ACACTGTAGATTGGATTTGTTTAATTCACACCTTCCTAATTGCTCATGAATATTTCAGTGAAACTGTGAAAATAGAATAACTGTATAAAGTAATGTATTATTTCACAGCCCAGTCCTGAAACTAATAAAAAAAAGTAAATCATAGAACAAAACCTGGAAAAGTACCTAAACTCTAGAGTTTTGAGGGTTTTTTCCTTTGAAATATACTAGATTTAACTGTTTGCTGAGATACCAATGGAGAATTTAAATATTACTTATCAACAAATGTTGTGCTTTGCAACACTGTTTACATGTAATTTTAACAAAATGACTAACTGATCATAATCTTGGTGTTTGTAAATACTTGAGATAAAATTAGTTGTGACTTGACATGGCTTTTAGCCAGTTGTTAGTTCTCTATACTGAGACTCAGTTGCATTACATGAAAAACAAACAAACAAACAAACAAACAAAAAACAACCCACCCCATTAAAATGTGTTAAAATGCACTAATGTTCATAATTTGCTTAATGATATTATAAATCAAATTTAAAATATCCAGGAAACAAAAAAAGTGTTTTTGCTGGTTTGTTTTTTAATCCAAACACCACCTTGCTTTTACAATAGTGCACATAAAAAGCCTCTTTTACTAAGAAAAACATGAGTGTTCTTATCTCAGATCTAAAAATCAACCTTCAGTTCAAAGGTCTCATATGAGTCTTACGCCTATATATTGTACATCCTTATAAAGGTAACATCACCATTATACTTCTAGCAGTTTTTAGCCTTTTCCCCTTATAAATTCCAAAATTACATATTCTATATTGACTGAGATTTCTAGTAAAAAAGAAAGAGATGGACTAAAGATGACAACTACAGTGACTAAAGCACGATGATGTTTACATTCCAGCTACTGTCCCATAATATTGTTCAGCAATAAATCAGCGTTGAGTATTCTTAAAAGGACTTAAACTAAAATTATAAGCACTCGAAGAAATAATTGTCTGTATCAGATCACCAATGTCTGTAAGGTAGTTAATAACTGCTTAAGTGTGACTTTAACACAGATGTACTTTTATGGATATGGGCTGACTCCCAGACTATAATTCTGTAAAGAAATATGGAGGTGCTGTTCCAAGTTTGGGGCATTCGATGGAAATTTTTAGTCTGGGAAATTTTAGACAAGCATGCATGCATCGCAGACTTAATACTCTAAACGGAATGGTGTGGGACCGCAAATCGCCAGGGAAAGTTTGAAGATCTCATGTTAAAGACGGTGCTCTCTCTTCTAATAGTGAACCAAAATAAATTATTCTTAAATAAAAGAATATGTAGTTTACAAGAAGCCGCAAACGCATGTTTTACAGTCCTGCAATATTATTTCAATTTGCTAAAGTCAATAATCTATTCATTAAATAAACATGTATTAACAAAACTGAACATGGAATGGGACTGATATTATTATTAACAAGCAACTCACCCACTGAGTTAAACGAATACCTTAAAGCCACACAAGATTACATCTCGTTTCGTCGTTATGTATATTCGATTGAAAACACTCTTTAGGTAACGTTCTTTCGCATAACAATAGATAGCTTGTGGGGGCGGGTTTGGTGCTCTACCATCGTATTTTAAAGTCCACGCAGTCCCAATTTAAAAGTATTGAATAAAATGTATTTAACACACACATTAGGACTCTATCTTATTCCCCTTAGAGGGAGGAGGGTTGGGTTGGCAGTCCTCTGTCAAACTGACAGAATTTGATGGGGGGAACGTGGCTATCCTGCTGCAGACCAGTGGGAAATGCTGGTACGGGCATTGCAAAGTTTGCTGACATGTCTGCACCACCTCACCATTCCCATGAATCACTCACTCAGTCAGTCTGGATACCTCTGACATTAGGGGTCACCGATCTCCTGGGAAAAGAACAAGGGATAGAGACGGCACGTTCCTTTGTTCTAGGAAATCAAATTGACTTCTTCTAGGCAATGACAGGATTTGGTTTAGAGACAAGGTGGGTGTGATAACGTCTTTTATTGGACTAACTTCTGGTGGTGGAAGCGCACTCTCTGTAGCTGGGAAGCTTGAACCTTCCACCACCAGAAGTTGGTCCAATAAAAGGTATTACCTCGCTCACCTCGTCTCTCTCATATCCTGGGAACAGCACAGCTGCAACACCACTGCAAAGGATTTTGTTTTTACATTATTTACCATACAGCAAGTGGAAGAAACACTGGAGGCAACTCTCCCATTAATGTTACAACCTCTTAAGGACCCTGATGAGCTGCTGTTCAGTTACAACAGAGGAAGCTGCTGTGGGGAGAGATGGGGAGAGGAGATTGTTTTCCCAGACTGTTTACTAATGCAGAGAGTCATTCAAGAGCTTATTCCCAACACACAAACCCCTCCGCTATCTCCTACATCCTTAATCAAAACAAAACGTAAACCCTAAACAAGAAACGAGGCTACATTCAGAACATGAAGTACACAGTAACTAGCAAATGATCTGCTAGGTTGACATAGAAGAAGAACATTTTAAAAGATGAAAGGTAGAAAAGACGTGGCATACCAGAGATTTCACTGACTCGAGGTGGGGTTTTTAAAGTTAAATTTTGTTAAGCAAGCTCTTGCCAGCCTATGTGGTCACCTAGCGCCTTGCTTTTCCCGGTGCAAATGACAGTTCCTTCTCCTCTAAATAAGAGGGATGCCCGATCTAACGGCTCTGCTAACCACCAGGGAAATGAGTTAGTTTCCTAAAATCCAGCATAAGACATTTGGAAGAATTAATGTAAAAGTTTTGTAAGGGAGCGATGGCGTCTCTGTGTTTCCACTCATCACATTTCAGGGCTGGATGAGAGGAACTCAGGCACTGGAGAAATGTGCACACAGGGCTGGTTCCTATCAATAGTCAGAAGCGATACACTGTTCTCCTTCCCCCGCCACACACACACACACACACACACTTAGTTTAGGCCGTAACCCTCTTTTGTTGGCCCGGCATCAGAACGGTAGCGGGAACGGGTGGTTCCGGAGGGATGCACCGTCTGATCCCTGCAGCCAGAAGGAGGAAGAGGGGCTGCTGGAGGGCGAGGGGGCACGAGCTGTGACGAAAAGAGACAGGGAGGAGGAGGAGAGCGGAGCTTTCACTAAGTAATCTGCCAGGTACGGGGGTCCTGCCCTGGTCCCTGTACTTGGCTTCCGGGCCGGGGAGAAGTGGGTCAGTGGAGCACATGACAACCGCAGATGCCGACAGGGAAACACAGCCACCACCACACACACACACCCGGCTCCTCCTGGCCGCCACACCAATCAGCGCGCACAGCACGTCGCCAGGCACACGCCTCCCCCCCAACCCCCGGCCCAGAAACGCCGGCTCTGCCCGACCCACCGCCAACCCGCGCAAAAAGAGCAGCTGCTCCCTGGAGTCCCCCTGCCTCCACGGTCAGAGCACGCGGGCGGCGCCCGCACCCCACCCCCTGCCAGCACCCAGCCCTGCAGCAAACCCGCGGCCAGTCACCTCGCCCCCCAGCCCCCGCCGCTTCCCCTCGCCCCCGGCACGCTGCCCTTCCGAGCAGCAGCAGCAGCTCCCCCCCCCCGCCTTGTGGCAGCGCCAGGGACGGGCAGCGGACTCCTGGGATCACGGGAGGCTGCGATCACCGACCCCCGCCCTGCCCCGGCGGGGCAGAGCATCTTCTCCCGGCCCAGCGACCACGTGGGGCAGAGGCCGCCAGAGCGCCTCCTGCCGATCCCAGCGGGATTTCAGGGCCACCCACAGCCCGGCTGGGGTGCGCAGGGGACGCTGCTCCCCGCACCGGGGACGCCCCGTCTGCCCCCTTCCCCCTCGGGTCTTCACTCCTCTCAGTAACTTGCGGGCTGGCGGATGCTGAAGGGGTGTCTGAGTAGGGTGGGAGGAGGGCTGAGGGCCACTTCATGAAGTGTTATTACTAGCATCGCTGGCTGTTTGGGAAGGGCTGAGAGACAGGAGGGGAGGCGGGATGGGGGTGGGGGAATCTTTGCTTTGAGACAGGCCAAAGACTCCATTAAAATGCAAGGAGCTCCTCTCCCATGGAAGAATGAGTCAGCTGAAAGTCCAGGGGAAGGAGGGAGACACAGGAAAGGGGGCTGCTGGCTCCTAGCACGGGCGAGCTGAGACCTAGGCAGCCCCAACGGAGAGAGCCCATCTCTGCAACCAAGCAGGTGCTTCCAGACAGCCCAGCCCCTCAACCACCCTCAGGGAACCGGTGACCTGCACCCCCCCCCCCCGCGTCAGTCGACCCAAAGTGACGGCAGCTGACACAGAGCAGGGCTGGCGCGGGGGAGTGTAGAGTAATAAAACAAAGCGAGCATGGAAGTTCCCACCAGAAGTTAAGCAGCCACTACCCCCTTCCTCGCAGCCGGTTTGTGCCCCCTACGCGGCACATCAACACGCCAGGAAAGAAAGCGTCCAAATGCTCCCCCTTTCCTAAAATAAACCCAAACCACCTGCGCGCGCCCTGCGAGAGAACCTACACGAATGCCCAACGCACGCCAAAATAAGACGTGTCTAAACATTTCCGAACAGCTCTCAGGGGACTGTTTCCTCATCTCTTCCTATTAATGGAAGCCGGGACATGCTAAGGAGACTTAACTCTTCTGAATCCTAACTCCCAGCTGAAACCTCCCGTATAATGAAGTGCTCTTGCGTTCCCTCTTTAAATTACACTCCTGCTAATCATCATATAGAAGTACTTGTAACAGATGCCCGAGTGAACTATACCAACATTTCTAAATTGTTTACTTTGGGCTTGTTTTAGTTCCCCCGTACAAACCTAAATAAGTCGCGCCACCTCCATAATAAAGAAAGAAAAATCAATATCACAAACAGTACATTAGACATCACTGAAAAACTTTATGCAACATAAGCAGCAAATTTTCCCACACCCACAAAAAAGGAACTGAGGAAAAGCCTTGGCTCTGTGAAATCAACACCCCCTACCAGTAATATACTCCCCACCTCCTTATTCCCCTAATTCTTCCCTTACCTCGCATGGTGTTGGCGATTCCCTGCTCAGTGCAGTCATGAAGCTAACAGCTTGGACCTTGTATCACAAAAATCCCCTCTCAGCAAGAACGAAGGCTGCAGCCGGAGTAGATCTGCTCTGCTGGGAAAATCATTCCTCCAAGGTTGTTATTCTTATGTTTTGAAAGTATTATGTGTATATAGATGTAAAAGGAATGTCTGGCTGGCTGGTCTGAATTGTGCGTGTTTCTTTTTCCGCCCCTCCTCCCCCGTATTTGCTCTGAAATACCACCAGCAGCTCCAAAAGATTTCTTTTGTGGTTACTTGGACTGAGGAGGAGCAGGAGCGATGGTGGTTGTTGGTTTGTTAGTTACAAGGAGGGCGGGGAGAGGAGTTCCTATTTTTTTTAAAAAAAAGGGAACAGGGGGAAAAAAAGAAAGAAAGAAGGGCTGTGTGAATGGCAGAGCATGTGCGTTTTCACATGACATCTGTGCCTGTTAGCAGATCCCCAATGTGAATTTTCACTGCTCGGTTACAGGGACGCGCAGAGAGAGATTGAGAGAGAAAGCTGCAAAGAAGCTTATAGCAGAGAGCTGGCTGCACCGGCTACCCGAAGCTCCTCCTGCTGTCAGCACCGCCGCCAATCAAAAGCCTCCCGAGTTGGGAGCCCGGCTGGGACCACTGAGGGGGAGACCCATCCGGAGAGAGACAGAGACAGACAGAGGGGCGCACCGACAGCTATCACAACAGGGGGGGATGCGGGAAGAGGAAAACGCATGCACAAAAAAGAGCACCACGGCCGGTTTGCTGCTCCCTCGGTGGCTGTCACAGAAGCACAGCTCCTTTCTGCCCTGGGTTATTCACTCCCACGTTAACTAATGTATCAAATATAACGGTGTGTGGTTTTTAATCATCACCAGATATTCTCCCTGTCCCTCCTCAATCCAGCACTGCACACTGACCCAGAAGAACTGGGATGTTTATGTTTGTAAATCACCCCCCGACTGCCAGACTCAAGAAGCAATGAAGATCACTCTGGAAATATTCTCTCTTAACAGTTTTCTGAACTTTTGCTACTTGTGGGAGCTTTTCTCTGTTTTGATGCCTACTGCTTTTTTATCTTTCTGGTTTCAGTCTCAGGAAAAATGATGGTACAAAGTGAGCTGCCTGCAGTGCTTTGGAGTTTGAGGAGAGGTAACAAAACAGGGAAATGTGAAGCCCATCATGTGATTTTTTTTTCCTGAAAGGGTATGGTGGTGAGGGAGGCAGGCAAAGGAACCCTCCTCAGATATGTATTTTATTCTGGGAATGGGACTATAGTTCCTGATCTCTCTCTTCTGAAAACAGTTCTCTCAGGAGAGGGAATGTGGGTGTCAAAAGAAGTTTGCTTTACCAGGATAGGGATAGTTGGCAGTTATATAGTAATGAACATATATATATATATATATATATATATATATATATATTTCTGATACAGCCAGATCCTGAATCCTTTCTGACTTCAACTGAAGCATTACCTGAGAAACAAATGATTGCAGGATTTTGGCCCATGTAATTTTTATAATTTCTTAGGCAAACTGTGGCCTCTATGATGTGAAGATTTGAGCCTCAGTCACACTAATTTGAAGGGAAGTTCAGGGAGCTGACCAGTTCACAGGAATAAGTCCCTCAGTGTGGAAGGCCAGTATTTATACTGACAGGGTGTTCACCCTTAAGGGATGGCTGTATACAAGTTTTGTATACAACCCCCACCTGCAGGTGACAAATTCATTAGCAGTTTTACTTTAAGTCAAGATTGGATGTTTTTCTAAGAGTTATGCTCTAGTTTAAACTACACACTTGATTAGTTTTGATGCATTCAATAAATTCTTCTTCTGCGACAGGAATTAACAGGTGAAATGCTATGGCCTGAATTATGCAAGAGTGCAGACTAGATGATCAGTGATCTCTGCTGGCCTTAAGATCAATGTAGATCAAGTGGTAAGTGGAATTTCCACCCTTGGTGAAAAGTGGTACAGTTTCCTGTCTGGAGGACAGGGTGACAGTTTTCTTTAAGAAATCACTGAAAATATGCACACATGAATTATGAACCTGCTAGTTTGGGGAATGTTGTCTAAGAAGGTTATGGTGAGGCTTCTTTGCCACTGTCTAAAGATTTCAGATTTCTTTGATCTCACAGAGTCTTGTTTCAAGTCAGTGTATTAGAAATAAACTACACTTGTGTTAGCTGAAGATAGAGATCAACTGAAGGATGAAGATCACCTGTCCATGCTAATTTCCAGAGATTTGTCAATGGCCTTTGGTGCTATTCACCATGGGCTTTCAGTGATATATCTGCAATCCTCAGCAGGGATTTATGGTGAATATGTTGGGTCCCAATCCGTTACTAGCACAGATAGCTCCATTGATTTCAGTGGGACAACAAGTGGTAATAAAGTTAACCGTATACTTGTTAGCAGGATTGGGGCGTGTTGACTCCTATTTAGTGGTTGTTTTAGAATCTATTGCTGGATATTTGCCTACTCAAGTAGTCTCTCATGTGGAATTCCACAAGGGTCCAGTATCAATCCTTCTCTTAAACATGTATATGAGGCTGTTAGGAGGGTTAGAGAGAAAGCATGAGTTATAGCACTTTCAGTATGTGCTATATCTCCATCTTTCTAATACAGTTGGGTGACTTGCCTGATATCTGAATGAGACTGGAGCTTGAATGAAGGCTGGAGGACAGGGTGACAGCTTTCTTTAAGGAATCACTGAAAATATGTACACATGAATTATGAACCTGGGATAATGCTTGTAGGTTGAAGAAAGCAACTGGAAGAATGGCTAGAGATTATATACAGCCTTTGCTTGAGGGAGCGCACCCAACATATCCAACATGTGTTATTCAATTTTATCACCCAGGAGGTAGCATTATCCTGGCTGTCCAGGAAGCAGCAGTTACTGACACTGTTTTTTTTAAATACATTTGGCAAGAAGGCTGTGACTCTTGTTTTCAGGTTCTGAACCTTGCTATTGACCATGTTTTTGTGACTGATGTTAGACATTATAAAGTAACGTAGTTCGACTATGCCTTCAGTTCATTCAGGAACATAAATCAGTAAATATTAAAGCAGCCTATTTGCTAAGCATAGAAAATGTATTAAACAACTGCTCTGGCTACTGACTTCTTTTATGGGTCAAATATAAGATGATATTTTTGGAAAACAGTGAAAAAATAGAAAAGCCTTCTCTCCTTTTAATCAAAATTTCATTTTGGGTGACATTTTCCAATCAGCTCTTGTTTTTCCCTACAAAGCCCTAAAGGGTTTGGGCACCAAGAACCAGGGACACTATGCTCCCTGTGCAATTCCGATCACAGGAGGAATTCTATATTAGTTTCCTAATTTAAAAGTGAGCGGAGCTGATAGCAGGGGATTATCTGGGAGGGGTCCTCCCATGTGGAGCTTACTTCTTCAGTTTGGTCTAATGTAATTCACCTCTTACACTCTGGGAGATAGTGCAAAACTGATCTCTGTCTCACAGGGGTGAGTTGAGGAACTTGGGATGGTTGGTTTTATCATGTGTTCTAAATTTATGAGGAAGATCTCAAATATTATTGGGCTACTTGTTGTGAAGCTGCTCCAGATAATCAAATGTATTTTCATCTTACTATACATACATATGGATTTCAGTGAGCACCTCACAGACATGAATTTTTCCTTACCACAACCTCTTAATGTAGGAAAGTATTATTCCCATCTTCTAAAAAGGGAACAGAGGCACAAGAAAGAGGCATATGACTTGTCCAAGGTCACACATTGAGTTTGTAACAAAGCCAAGAACTGAACAGAGACTTGAGTCCCAATTCCATGATTTAACCACAAGCCCATCTTTCAGACTTTGTAAGAAGGGATTATTCCATAACCAAAGTGAATGGAATTTCTCAGTTTACAGATTTGAAATATTTAAAAATTTAAAACCGATCAAAATTTGGTCATGCACCTACGTGCATACATAATACAATATAGTAGCTTTACTTTACTCAAGAACTTTTAATGAGCATGTTTTAAAAAGAAGTTAAGAGAAACAATACTACATTATTAATATATTTGGATTGCAGATTGAACAAAGAAATTGCCTTTTAGAACAGTCACTCACATAAGCGCCTTTCCCAAGGCTCTGTAGCTGACAAATCTTTTAAGACAATATTTAAGGCCAAACAATTTTAACATTTTAATCATATAAAATATATTCATCATAACCACATTAAAGATGCACCAAGTTATGCCTAAGTCAGTTACTTCATTAAAAATTACTGAATAGAAAATAGTCAAACAAATTGCACCTACAGGCCCAATTCTGCTTCCATAGAAATAAATGGCGAGTTTCTGTTGGATTCACAGGGAGCAGGATTCATCACCTAGCCTAAATTTGTTTCTTAGCTCCAGTAGCAGCAAGATTAGGGAAAATATAATTTCTGAGTCTCATCTGCCTCATGTAGATATGACTTGAATGCCAGGCATTCCCCACCCTTTATAAGTCATGGGGTACTTGAGACTTTTTTCTTCTTCTTCCAGTTTTGCATCTTAAAGCTGTTTAAATGGGAATTATCAAGAGGTTCAAGAATCTGAACTTCTCCCACAGATTCCTTAGTTGTAATTCACTCACTGGATTATATAATTCTTCCTCATTTCTTTATTATCTGCTGTCTTAAAAATGATAGCAAAGCATATACAGAAAACACATTATGTTTATTTGAACTCCAACATAGCCTGTGTATCATTTGTTACATGTCAGACTTTCAGCAATGTATTATTTTATTTGGGAACTATATCTTTAATATATTGAAACAATTTAAAAATCATCAACAATTTAGTCAATTAGACAAAATATTCAGTAATTGAAAATCTTTAATTATATTACTTTAGTTTTTTGAAACTATGGATGTAATATATTATGCATGACAAGATAACCAAAGTTTTCTTTAAAAAGAGAGAGAGAGAAAAAAAGACCCGATTTCTTCAGTCTTTTGGGGTGGAATGAAAAGTGATCTCTAGCTACACTGTGTGGGTCTCAACTCTTTTCAACACTTCATTTCACTTACGAACAGATGGTTGATGTAATCCTCCAA